CAAATAGACTGAACGGTGGAACAACCTGAACAACCAAACAACTGGTCACTATGACATGCGCTGACCACCAGGGGGCGTGTGTGGGACATGGTGGGCGTCGGCCATGGCGGGATGATGGAGCAGGTGAGCGGGGGCACCAGACCAAGGCGGGCGCCTGTTGCTGTCATCGGGGTGAGCCTCTGGTGGTTACTGAAGATTCTTTGCTCCTGTGCACCTTGGTCCCGCCTGGCACTCGCACCTGCTGCCGGTGCCCAGGCCAGTCCCAATCGCTTGGCACCATCAGCGGGTATGAGTGGTGGTTGCCAGCCCTGATTGCCCTTGGGGGCTTCTCCACATCCCCCTGCTCCTGAGGGGCAATCAGGGCAGCAGCCGCAGCTTACACCTGCTAATGGCACCGGCCCCATTCGCACCCGCTGCTGGTGCCAACCCCAGTAGCTCCGCACCAGCAGTGCGTGGGAGCAGCGGTGGGAGAGGGGCTGCCGGCAGACAGGGGACTGGAGGCTGCAGAGGGAGGGGCCCGGTGGGGGCATGGAGGATAGGCCAAGACCTGCCCCTGTGCCTACCACAGCCTCACAGCCCACAGTTCCTTTGAAGGTGCACAAATTTGTGCCCTGGGCCCCTAGTATTAATAATATTAGGTCCCTGTTGGGACCTTATTCAGAACCTTTGGTGAGGCACCTGCCCCCATACTGAGATTAATGAGAGATAACTCCAATTTGTTTTACCTGTAATTTGGGGTAATTGGTGATGTTTTCCTCCCATCTCCAGCTGAGCGTGTACCTTATTTATTGATTGCCTGCCATGTGCCAGGAAGTATGTTGGGTGCTAGGTTTGCAAACACAAATAAGCTAGACTCACCAGGAGGGTTTTGCAGTTATCCAAGAATGTGTAGGTGTTGACCCTGATAAGAGAAGAAAGGCTATTTTAAAAAAATATTTTTATTGATTTCAGAGAGGAAGGGAGAGGGAGAGAGATACAGAAACATCAATGATGACAGAGAACCATTGATCAGATGCCTCCTGCATGTCCCCTACTGGGATCGAGCCCGCAACCCAGGCATGTGCCCTGACTGGGAACCAAACCGTGACCTCCAGGTTCATAGGTAGACGCTCAACCACTGAGCCACGCCGGCTGGGCAAGAAAGGCTATTTTTGAAGGAAAAATTAACGTGTATTGATGACTGCTTGGATATAGAGGGATGAATGAGAAAACCCACTAAAGGAGCATACTAAGTTTTGTAACCTGATTGAAAAGGACTGAGGTGCCTGGGGTAGAGCAGCCATTTCAAGACCACTCATATTATCACACAGCTTTTGTTCTGCCGTTCATTATCTTCCTAGCAGGCTTTCAGTAGCTCCACAGAGACCTCAGGTTCATGTCCAGCCATCTCTGACTGCTTTTCCAGGTTCACTGTCTTTTGGCTGAAACACAAAAATAAGCATATGCTTGGTGTTTGCGTATTTCCTTAGACTCCTTGCAATCCCTAACTATGCTCTACCGTTTCACACTTCTGAGCACACTGTATAAGATACATATAATTCCCTCTTCCTTGTATGAAACGCCCACACTTCCATCCTTACCTCCATTTTGTCCCTTTGTTGACTGGTCACTCAACTTTCAAACTGTATCTTAAATATCTCCTTCTTTGTAAGACTTTCTCTCAAACTCTAGTTAATTGCTCCCAATCTTTATCACAATTGTTCCTTCTAGTACATCTATTATTGCACTTAGTGTACTGAGGTGTAAGTCATACATTACTCTGATTCACTCAGCACCATGAAATACTTGGGGGCAGGTAACATATTTTAATTGTTTCCATATTTCCAATAACTAGCACCAAGCTTGTAGCCCGGCACATAGAAACCATTGAATAGTATATTTACGGGCTGAATGAATGAACTGCCCAGCATAATGATTTCCATATAACAGTTACGAAATAAACATTTATTGAATTTAATAAAAACAAAGTAATGTAAGTTGCTACCCACAAGAAGAACATGAGTTTAAAAATACAGAGCGAATAGAGTGGAATAGGCTAAATGGGCAAGTTTCATAGCGGTCTTTTCCTGCCTTACCCCTGGATCCCTGCTGTCATCTCTGTCCAAGATGTCTTGAGTTCCCACTCCTCCCTCTCTCCCTTCCTTCCTTCCTTCCTTCCTTCCTTCCTTCCTTCCTTCCTTCCTTCCTTCCTTCCTCTCTTTTCTAGCCCTTAAGCAGATTTTAAGAATCTAGTTATCTACTAGTATATCTTGGATTAGGGAATCTTCTCAGTTTTCAAGTTTCCTTTAAATTCATAGAAATAACAAACTCATCTGCAAAGCTGCTGAGACCATTTGCTCAGGTCTCCACTGGAACTGAGTAAGGGGCCCAGCAATCATCCTCCCAGGCTGTCACAGTATTTCAGAGCCAAGAGAATGAGACCCTCTTATTATTGTTGATATGTATCTGTCATCAGCTATCCTCTGCAGGCATGGGGCACTGCAATGCAGAGGAATAGAGGAGAGAGAGTAGGGTTAGTTCAGGGAACTGCAGTTAATGCAGTGTGGCTAGCATAGAAGAGTTTGAGTTTAGTTGCAGCAGAACCCGAACAGATAGACAGAGCTATATGATGAAATACTATATGAAGAGCTATATGGTGTAATACTCAGGAAAATGGGCTGTTATTCTGAATGCTTTTATAAGAAAACTTTTAAAACTATACATAGCTTCTCAAAAATACTTTCTTATTCAAAAGCAATACATGTTCAAAGTAAATTTTTTACAAAGAACAGACATGTGCAAAGGAAATAATTCTTAATCCAATCACCTTTACAATTTTTAACATTTTGACATATTTTTCAACCTCTCTTTAATGAATGTAAGCATGAATGCACATTTAAATGAAAACAAATAAGGCTTATACTATATATATTTATTACTTTGTAACTTGCCTTTTCATAAACATTTCCCAATCAGTTGTCTTTAAAACATGATTTTTGAAGGGCTACACAGTATTTTATTATATGCATGTATCACAGGTTATTTAATTAATTCCTTATTGTTGGGCATTTAGGTAGTTTTTGTTTTTTTTTCTGCTGTAAATAACATCTTAATGAACAGTTTTGTACACTAATTTTAAACATCTAATTTTTGGTACATATTTATAGGCTTAAATCTAAAAGTGGAATTATCATACCAAAGCTATGAGTATTTTAAAGATTTTTGATGCAGATTATGCTATAAAAAGTTGTTTCAAGTTACACTCCTTCTAGTCCTATGGTAGAATGTCTACTTCTCAGCTCTTTCATCTGCACTGAATGTTCTCATTCTTTTAAAATATTTACAGCTTATTTCCTTAATTTGATTTTTTTTTTACTAGTGAGTTTGAACTTTTTTCATGTTTTTATTAGCCACTTATATTTCTTTCTTTGTTTGTGTGTGAAGTTTGCTATTCATGTCCTTTGCTAATTTTTATCTTTTTTTTGTCAGCTTGACTTTACATATTGTTTAGGGTGTTTTGTTTTGTTTTTAACTTTCATGAAATTTAAATTTTTAAATAGCCAGACCTACCAATCTTTCTCTTATGGTTTCCTTCTTCGCTTTTTTGTTTACAAAGTTCCTCCCCTGAACCCTCCCAGATTCCAAATGATTTTGCTTAAATAAATTCTTAAAATTAAAAAAAGAGAGAAACCATTCTGGGATCAGTTTTCTTAAAACAAACAAACAAACAAACAAACAAACAAACGTATTTCTTGTAGCTGTTATGATTTCATTTATTACTTTGGGATTGAATTTTGACAGTGTGGGAGTTTTAAGCCTCTCTCCCCACTATCAGAACACAATTTATTGTGTAATCCATCGCTGGTTCAAATGCTACCCTTATCATCATAGCTCCTGTCATCTTCCTGGGATTCCATCTCCTGACAGTTACAGGAATAGGGGGCATGTGGGAGAGTGAACAAATATCCTAGGGAATAGACAGTGCTACCAAGGTGTGAAAATTTAGATCAGGCAGATAGAGAACATATGGTGTTTGCTATGGAGTTTTAGCTTAGTGGTGGATTAAGTACATACATACGTAATTTTCAAGATAGTTGCTCATTAAAATATATAAATGAAAATTTTTAGCGGCAGGAAAAGGAGAGCAGGGCAATCTTCCCCAAATAACTTTGTCTGTAAATCCAGTTCCACACGCGAGCCACCTGTCACATGGACTCCTGCCCTTTAAATAGCACCACTCAGGTATGAGATCTGCGAGAGGAAGTTCAGATGAAGGTCTTGAGTCTTCGAGTATATTTTGCTTAGAGAAAACGGAACTTTATTTTAAAATACGGTGCTCATTACCAGCGCAGTAACCGCTACAGAAGCAGCATGACCCCATCAGTTTTATACTGACATCCATCTGCGCCGCTAAGGCGATTGCAAGGAGGGAGGGACTGGGGAAGGTGGAATTATTTTTGCGTTTTGAGCACCCGATTCCTCCTTTTTATTTTCTTTTTGCAAAAGACCGTTAAGGTCGGGGACAGGAGCCTCCAAACGTTAGGCCGCAACACAGTTATTTTGACTGTAACGGTGGTTTTCGTAAATGGGAGAGATAAAAAAGGGAGAAGTGCAGGTTACATCACATAACTTCCTGGGGTCTCCCCTTGCCCTGGGCGGAGATCCTGGGAACGCCGCCGGCTGCGAGGCCGCCTCGCGCCACTGGGGGGCGCACTCCCCCCTGGAAA